TGTTAAGAATATGAAATAAACTTGAAAATTAGAAGTAGCTTACTTTAACGAAACCTTTGACTTGAAGGTTTTTTATATCAAAGCTGGTGAGATCATGATAACCAAATTTCGTGAACTTTAAAGGTCCTAAACTTCCATTAACATTCCTCAAATTGAGAATACTTTTCAACAAATATCTACCCCATTTCCACTTATTGACAGAATCTGTGCAACTTCCTTTTTGGAAAGTAGAAGGTTCGAAAGATATTTTCTCTTCGTAAAGAATTTTGTGAAGTCCGTTGGCAATTGCTAACACTGCATCATACACACGAGTGAAAGCTTGCTGCAAAATGATTTTCATTATTTCATATATATGGATATTTAAATAGTGAAACAATATCAATGGTTAATTTACCTGATTCTGTATATGATTTCCCAAATTATTCTTTTTTAATTGATTCACTAATTTTAAATACAAAATGGTATCAGGAACCGCAAATGCAGTTCCTATTAATCCAACTAAAGAAGATGGTATATATCCGTCATCATCTGATAAGTATTTCAAATCCTGCCAACAAAGATCAATTGTTAATTAGGAGAGTTATTTTATTAAAATTTAATATAATAATATAAAACAATAAGTGACTTGAAGTCTTTCTGCAATGTTATGTAAGTTACAAAATTAAAAGATATAGACTTACGTGTGATGTAATGCTATCCATGACGAGCCATGTCCATCCAGAACGAAACATGTTCATGCGATCAGCTTGGTTTATAACAGTTTTACTTATCGTTATATCACAATAAAGAATTATTATTCTGACATCCTTTTCCTTATCAGAATAAAAGTGTTATAAAAATTCACTTGTGATAAATTTTGATATAAATTTTTACTTATACTAAGAGTTTGGAAATGAATATAATTAATTACATGAAACCTGCGTAAACTGGACTAGTATATTACCGAATGTTTTTTTTCCGTTTAGCAAAGTATTTTAACACAAAAATTACTGTTTTTAATAAATTCTCCCGTTCAGTTTGATTTCCGTTTTATCAAAGTTTTGTTTTGAACGTTTTACTATATAATAGATTAATCGAGTGTTTTTCAATTTATCCTAATATTGGCACTTTCAACTTGACAACTTATTTCTTCAGGCATCATTTTCTTCTTATTTATAGATGGAGAGTTGTTAAGATTTTCACACTTTTAGTAATAAAATTATGGTTTTGCTAAGCAGTATATTTCGAGGCTCCAGAGTGAAAGCAGTAGTTTTCACTCGGATTAATTCACTCTTGCATTTTTATAATAAACAAGCATATATCACATATTGAAGCTTTAAAATTTACAAATATCAGATTTACTGCTTACCTTAATGGCATTCAATTGTCGGGTAATATCGAGATATTTTGTGTCGGACAAAGGAAATCGCTGAACAGAAAGCAGTGTAATTTCGTGTTTCGTAGCTAGTCTTTGCAGTTCCATTGTTGCATGAATAGCTTAATAAATAAATTTAATTAGTCAATTTATACGTTTTAAAAATTATAACATATTAAATTAAGCACAGAACAAGAATAAAAACTTGCCTGGTTCATTATCTTCTGTTAAAATGACAAAAGCATCCCATCCATAATATTTCAAGATATGTATTAAGGCATTATTCTGAAAGGTATCCGGCGGTGACATTTTTAAAAGCGTAGACGACGATTGGTTCAAAATCGGTATTAAAGATAACATCGGGTCTGTGGCCAAGATACTAATCTGCGGTATTCCCAATTGGCCACACACAATTTGGACAATTTTTGAATGTAAAGACATTAGTGGTCCGACTATCGATATCACTCGCTGATCTACTAAATTACACGCTGAAAAATTATATCGGTATTTAATTTTAGTAATAAAGTAATTTTAATATAATTTATATAAATTTACCAGCTCTAATAACTTCTAATTGCGTAGAAGCATTCTGTGTAATCGGAATGAGTTTCGTATTGGGTAATAAATTCGAATCTGAATTTATATTGTTTATAACTAACCGAAATGTTTCTTGTAATATAGGAAGGTCAGACGGAAAAATAGCACCTGAAAGGTAAATACAGTATAAATATTTAAAGGAAATCTACAACAGGATAAATCGAAATTAGTAGATTGCTATTGTAATACTTTCTATTACGTTATCTAAGTCATTAATCGCTTTAGTTCCCACCAATTTTTAATATTAATGTAATTAAACATAAAAAAATACTTAAAACTGAAAAAAACGAAAGCAATGCGTTAACTTTGAAGAAAAACATTCAAACTTTATTTTCCATTGTCTCGCCTTTCTGTGAGATCTGACACCGATGAATCATTGTGTTTACAGCTGGATGACCGTGAGAACAGCTGGTGTTGGATTTTCCGAGACATTCTCATAGAAGTCTCGGGAGGCGAAGGGTTTATAGTAGGGTGAATACTAGATGGCTGTATAATTTTAAATACAGTGGTACCTCAGGTTACGAACGCCCCAGCATACGAAATTTTCAGGATACGACATGAAATTCGAACATATTTTTGCTCCACGATACGAACAAAAACTCACCATACGACGTTACATTAGTTCGCATTTTTCATTTGTTTTTCTTACTAC